TTACCAACTTAACTCAAAGTTTATGCGAGTGTGATACTTACCAAAAACCACCTTGCGATAAAACTCTATAACAAATTCTAAACTTCCAAACTCATTAAAAAAAATAATAATGCTCCAGACCTCTTTTATTAAAACTATATATCAATATTTGTTTCCTGCCTGTTTAATATTTCTTTGCTATCCAATTTTAGTAACTCCTAATTGAATTAATTTTGTATCACTTAAGTTCTTAATAGTATTTATAGTTATTTCTTCTTGTTCAAATCCTGCTTTTAAATCTAAGTAAGCACTATTGCCATTATGATTTTTATCTAACTCTTCAAAAAATTCTTGAAGACTTGGAATTAAGCCTGAATTTAATTTAATTACAGATGGTGATTGCAATTGTAGTACTTGAATATTAGCCTTAATGGCATTAATAATACCAAAGGTCAGGTACGAAGGTGACGTTTTGATAGTGGTGAGTTTATTTTTCTACAAATAAGATGTGTTTTAAAATTAATTTATATTAGGAAACTGTTAATTTCTTACCCTTGTACAGTATATATACGTACATATGCATATATATATGTATATACAAATATAAAATGTTAATATAACAAAAAATAGGAATAGAAATACCACTTACTATATTTCGTGCCTACAATTGTAAGCATGTAGGTATTAATGCAAGATATTTATCATCTTCAATATAACAAAATATTGCATAAACATTGTATTAGTATTTAGTTCAAATTTGCGTGATAATATTAGCTAGTTCGATTTCATCAGAATTAAGTTTTAACTCCTTTGGTACAAGGTTCATTTTTAACTTTTTAGTTTTTATTTCTTGTGTCTCTTCATTCAAATCACTGGATTCCTCAATTAAATTTATAAATATATACAGTATATTGTTAAATATATACGTATTATAACTTATTATAATATATAATATAAAGTCGAAACATACCTTAAATTTTTTTTTTTTATTACTTTTTTTATTATTTTTTATGAGGTAATTTTAGCGCAATATTTAATAACATAAATTTTTTTGACTTTTCTAATTTTTTGTATTCACTAATAAATGCATCATAATTATCTTTATCATCTAAAGCCATTGCTTGTCTGTGACTGTTAATTTTATAAGAAACTTGAATATTATTTTTATCGATATGATTATTATTGATGTGGTCTTGAATATGCTTAATTAGATTATCTTGAAAAATATCAAAATTGTCTAATTCAAATGTGAACCATTTTGCTGGTATTGGATCTGATTTCTTAATTTTAATTACAACCTTGACTTGAAAATTTGAATTAAAAGTAAAACCTTCTGACGAAACTGAG